AACTTTCTTCCTGAGGGGGCATTTGTTCTTGAGCAAATGCAGCTGCCAAGATTGCAGTGTTATGCTTGTTCTCTTCTTCTTCTGTTATTGTATACCTCATAAGCAGTCCCTATTAACTGAGATAGTGACATTTCCAGCATACCATCCACTTTCTGAAGTATTTACTCCTTACAATTCCTTAAATCTGATGCAGGCATTCCCTTTGCTCCCACTGTTGCTCACAGTGTTCTGCTGTGCTTGGGTCCTGCCTGCAAACTCCATCCTTCACTTCCTTCAGCATCAACCCCCCCTTTGCCTGTAGCTGGATTCCATCCCTTACTTCTTTTATGAATCAGCCGTTTCCCAACAGACAGACAGTTACACATCCCCAGACCATGAATTGCGCATCCTCTGACCATCACCCACTTACAAAGTCTTTCAAACATTTTTCTCAGTACTGCAAGCCAAGCAAAGCTGAGACACCTTCTTTTTGTTCTGCATCATCATTAACACATTCAAATCGGCTTCAAATCAGGTATCAGCAATTTACATTTTTTTCTTGTTTCATTATCATTTCTCAGAGAAAAAAAACCAACAAATCTACATATGGGATTTTATTCCACTTATCCACCTTTCCTCCCTCCTGAAAAACAGCATGTTACAAAATTATGTTAAGTCTTATATTTCCATTCTTTGACCTCTTTTCTTGATCTTCCAGAGTGTATATTGGCCACCAATGATTACAATACTCCGCAAGTTGTTTCCAAGTAAGGGGATCTCCCCCTATTACTTCCCAGTGTTTTAAAATGTATCCCAGAGGAGATATTTTCAAGATCCCTTCCTCCCCTCCTTCTGGGGAACAAATATTACCCATTCTGTTGACACATTATGGGCCTGCCCCCTGTCTTTTTCTTATAACAGTCACCAAATGCAAAGTTCAGGCATGAGCTACCAACAGGAGAAGACCGATGCTGCTCTGAATTTTAAGATGTCTCAATTAACCAATCACCGAATATGAGATCCAGACCGGGAAATCTATTACCATTCCAGGTTTTGACACCACAGTTATCCAGCAATACAGGCCTGATTTTAACCCTTTGATGGAATTCTAACACATAGGATCCTAATTTTAACCTTTACCCTAATTGCAATATACCCCACCTGCGTGCACCCTCTGTCCCTTTGGTGGTCTCTGGTGGTCTTTTGAGACCCCCTGGTCTCAAAGTCAAGTGGCCGTGTCCACTTGGTGACGACCCGGAACTCACTTCCATATGTGACCCCATTCTGGCTCAGAGGCCCTGTTTTGGTCCTACTGCCCAGTTTCAAACATATACTTAAAAACATGGTGGTCCTTATCTTTGTCTTGAACTGGTCTTTGCTGTTTTGTCCCTATTCTCTCATGATGTCCCAGGAACATCTGCTGTTTTGTCTGTATTTTCCAGCAACAACCGTGAAAATTTGTCCCTGGGTGCATTCTCTTCTGGGGTTTCTCGTAACAAGGGAAGAGCCATCACTCCACAGCTGCTCTCTCCTGTTTCAGAAGAGCGGCCAGCTTTTGTCTTTTTTTATTCCTTCATGATTTCAATCTCTGATTATCACTACTGCCATATTTTGGACGTTGAGATTCATCCGTGTTATCCCCAGAATTTGATGTGCAAAACTGGATGCATTATATCACAGAAAATGTTCTGTTTGTCCTCCTGTGTTGAAAGGACCTTCCTGAAGTGATTATGTGCAAATGGCAGCTAGTGATGAAGGATAGTTCACTTCCCTGGAGTTGTTGTTTTCAGATGAATGAGAGTGCCTAAAATTGAGGACACCACAGAAAACTAGACTTGGTCAGCACGTTACTGTTCTGTTTTATATGTAATGGCAGAGTTGGAGTTCGCACTATACAAGTATCAATTTTAGCTCAGTAAGCTCATGGCTGCTGAAATACGTTCATGTTTCTATTGTATCTCTTCTGGGCACCCTGAAGAGACCTTCCCTACCACCCACCCTCCCCAGAGATTGGGCTTTTCTTTTAGGTGTCTGCCCTCTGAAGAATGAATTAAGATCATTCCAGAGAGAATTAGGAGGGGCAATACCAATAGTGTTGGCACTGAAATAGCCACCTGTCAATGCTACCTTAAGGGCACACGAGCAATCTGGATCTCAACAAATGAGCTACTTTAAGGGCTCACGAGCAATCGGGATTGGTCCCTCTGTCCGCATAATTGTGTTCCATTTAAGCAGCTGTCATAGTGAACCTTTAAAATCTTTAAAATGTTGTTTTGTCTTGTGATTGCATGAGCTATTGCTGGGGGTTTAAAAAAAAAAACACACAAGGTGGTAGGTTAGGGGTTGGCTTTCCTTGGTGCTGACAGTTCTGCCCTATTTCAGATATATTACCCAGCTTTGGTCATGGAGAGAGCAGCTGAAAGGAGCAGAGGATCTGGTCTTTGCTTTGGAGAGAAAGTGGAGAAGTGAGAGGACCTTATAGGCCTTGGCTCAAGGCAGATGAGTAACTGAGGAAGTAGAAGATCAGTGGTGGTGCACTTGGGGTGCTTGACGGTAAACGGAGTATCAGAAGATCTGTTACTTCTACATTCTTCAGTCTCTGTATGAGCTGCAAGTTTTCTTTCTTAATTGTTGAGCTTACATTAGTTTTAATGTCATTTCTGACACATTGATTTTTGATGTTAATCCTGCTGACAATAAGCCTTCAATACTTAAATGATTATGATGACTTCAGTATAATAAAACCTATGAAAGGTTACAGGACCCTTAGAAAATTTCTGCTGTTACTATGTGGACTATACTAGTGTGTCAACTAAAAGACTAAATAATGGCAAAAATATTCTGTATTTCTGTAAAGAAATGTATTTCTTTATAATAAAAGAAAGCTAAAAAGGAAGAAAATCTGTCAAGTCAAGCTTGTGCAATGGCTTAGCATAGCTTGTGCATGTTTGTGAATATGTAATATATGTAAAGAATATATACATGTTACTTGAAATCCAAGAAACTTTGTTAAAACACATTGTGTGTCGTTGTGTATCTCAAGGCTGTCAGAGTACCTTTCAGATTTGTGCTGTCTTTGTGCAGGAATAGTTTCATTTCCCCTGAGGCACAACACATATTTTCTGTAGAAAAGTGTTTATTAAATGCAGAGCCCGTTTATACTAAGAAATGCCATCCTCTTAAATACCTGTGCCTGTATTTTTGCTGTTGTCCTACGTGTTGACAGAAAGATCACTGTGTGTGGTTGCAGAAGTAGTCAATGTGACACACTGCTGAATTAAAATGCATGCAGATTTTCTTTTGAGTCAAATCACTTCGATCCTTACAGAGAGGCCAGCTAGTCAAAGAGGTTTGGGTTTAGGTCCTCAGATCATCTGCAGCTGTACTGCCTCATTTTGACGATTAGTCTAAGTAGTAATTCTGCTGTTCCGGGCAGGGCAGCTAGAGCTAGTTTAGTGTCTAAGTTTAGTGCCTGCAAATAATTCTAATTAATTGTGCTAAATCTGTAACTTTTTATTGTTTATAGTGGCTCGCAGCTACTTAATTTTGAGATATATAAACTTAATCGGTAGAGCAATGACTTGCTCTCTATTTCTTATTTTCTTACCGTTGCCTCATCATTTGACTTCAGGAAGTACAAAGCGAAGGTACTCCTGTTAGCAATTTGTTCCCTCTTTTGGGATTCAGGTACCACAAGTGACTTGAAAATTATCTTTTTGATTCATAAGTAACATTCTTAACTGGTTTTATTCATATTACTCTTAATCCTAATGCCGGCATGCTTTTGTTCTTCTCTGGTACTGCTTCTGCATACTGCATCTCCAGCTTTTTGATAAACTGCAGTGCTGGGGTAAGAAAGCATCGTCAGCTAGATACATATAAAAATATTTTTGTACTTTTGAGGTACGGCAGCCTTACATATAAAAGTTCCTTTAAGGGGTAATAGAGCCATAAAAATGGGAAGCATTGTGGTAAGTATTGCATATATATATGTATGAGCTAGTAGGCAAGAAACATAAAATACACCTGAAAAGTAGACCGCTTCTCCATTTGCTACTTCAGAAAGAGGTAATGAGTAAGATAATTAGATAAACATCAAATTTTAAGGAAATTAATATTTTACTGTACTGTAGAGTTGAAAAAATATGTGGATGCATTTTAGCTTGTGCCTAAAAATAGTACATTTGAATTCACATAAGTTTTTTTTTTTACAAGGCATTTTTAAAAAATGTTTCATTTTTGTAATATGGCCATTTACATGGAATGTCTTCACCTTCTTTTTCACTAGTTTCTTGTAATCAAGTTTTGGAGAGAAAAGACCGTTTTCCTTCCTAATTTTAGAAATTGTATCTTTCATGGGAAAGCTTTCTGCTGTGTGGAACTCCAGGAAGATTTGTTGCTCTGCATTCCTAGATTAGGAAAACTACTGCTGCAGTTTCATTGTTAGGTATTCAAATCAAAAGATTTCCTAATCTTATTTTTCTTTCTTTCCTGGCAGCCGATTTATTTTGCACATTCCAAGTGAAGAGAGAGACAATGCAATCAGAGTATGTTTTCAGATTGAACTCGCCCATTGGTTTTACTTGGATTTCTACATGCAAAACACACCAGGATTACCTCAGTGTGGGATAAGAGACTTTGCTAAAGCTGATATCCTTTTTACTACTGTAAATGTTTTCAGGCTCTTTGGATAAAGTACAAACGACATTGTTAGTGAAACTTTGTATCTTGTGCTGCAACAGGGAAATGGCTGTTCCTGTCCTGCTCGTTACCAGCTAGACATGATTTTTAACTTTTCAGGCCTCTGAAACGCACTCCGTAAGTTTTCGGAATTTTGTGGCTTCTACAAATGAGATGTTTCTCTTGCAGTTTAGGAAGTGTGAAAAGTGTGGAATATTTTTTTACTTCTCCACATGGCTGCAGGTTGTTAGACTGGATGGGTTTCACGTGAGGTATGGAAACTCTTAAGGGTATGCTCTCATCTTATTTAAAGCCTAGTGTGAATCACAGGAAAGCCTAGTGTGAATATAGCTAAGGGTGGTATGCATTTCCTGATGGGAAATGGTATGTAGTTGTTGGGAGTTCTGGCAGTTGCTGCAGGATTCTTGCAGAAGCTGTCCTGTTAGTAGGAGAGGGGATGTATTTTTACCGAACTCGTGTCTTGGCTGTCTTCTGCCGGGCCTGACACTTAATGAAAAAAAGCAGAACTTACATGATCTGTACCTTGTTGGAGAAAAACATGTCAAGTAAATTTTGTATCAACATCTAGCATTTTGTTTTGTTTTGTTTTAACCTTTTCCTATACGTTTTTGATATGGACTGGTGTGTTGGTTTTAACTTTCATAATAATATCATCTGTGGCTTCACTATTCAAAATAATTCTTGACAGTATTTATTTTAACAATACCTTTTTTTTTTGGTCACTGGATACTGTGTACATTTTTTGAGTGATTTCAGGTAGACTTTTAAATTATAACAGTATTTTTCGCACTAAAGTAGTTGCCCTAGTATTTGCAGGCAACACAAAAAAAATGGTGTAGTAGATAACTTGTTCATTACACCTTTTTCTTTGATTTACCAGAAATGTTATTTCTGCTGTAGTGTTTGTTTTTAAATATAATACCAAAGAATGATTTTTACTAGCATTTCAATAAGATTTCTTTAGGACTTGTAGATTCGCCTTCAAAACTTTAGAGTTATACATGTTGCTTGTTCTTTTTTTTTTTTTTTTTTTCCTGCGTGTTGAGAAGCATAATACTCTTCACTTCTTAGAGAACGAATGTATCTGGAAAGCACCCTGGGGGATGCAGTGATTATTGTAAATGCTGAGCTATCTTTGTAAGACTGCATGTGTTTGGAAACTGGATAAATAAATTTAGCATCCTTAACATGCTGCTGTACTCTTCAATCACTGTCCTTTTTTACTGCCTCAAGGTGAAGATGTACAAAAGGTTTTAGATGAGTGGAAGGAATATAAAATGGGAGTGCCAACCTATGGTGCAATTATTCTTGATGAGACACTTGAAAATGTAAGTACAAAAATAATGGTGAAGAACTAAAGGGACAGCTGAAGTGTGAACTGGCAAAATGATCTTTTTATAATCCACTTTTGCCATCTTGAAGGGAAAAAAAAAAGGCAGTTGAGATTCACAGAGACCTTAAATATGGTACTGTTGAAGTGGGTACCGGAATGATTTGAGTAAAATATGGAAGACAGGTATGCTTTTGCTTTTTTCTTACTTTTTTTTTTTTTTTTTCTTCCTCCACAGAACACAGAAAGGTTAATCAGAAATTGTAGTGGTAATGCAAACTCTTCTCGGTTATAGCCAGTGACAGGACAAGGGGTAACGGGTGCAAGTTGAAACACAGGAAGTTTCACCTCTGAGTGAGGAGGAGCTTCTTTCCTGTGTGAGGGTGACAGAGCACTGGAACAGGCTGCCCAGAGAGATTGCGCAGTCTCCTTCTCTGGAGATCTTCCAAACCCGCCTGGATGCCACCCTGTGCTCTAGGTGTCCCTGCTGGAGCAGGGGGATTGGACTAGATGATCTCTAGAGGTCCCTGCCAACCTCAACCATTCTGGGATTCTGCAATTCTATGAATACTTAAAGATTGGTTCTTTCCTCCAGTGCAAATATATTTATGGGGATAAAAGGAAATATTTGCTTGGAAATTGTTAAAAATAGTGAGTGTTTAACAGTTGTGTTCCTTATGTTCTCCAGGTTCTTTTGGTCCAGGGTTATTTAGCAAAGTCTGGTTGGGGGTTTCCAAAGGGGAAGGTAAATAAAGAAGAGGCTCCTCATGATTGTGCTGCTAGAGAGGTAAGTTATGTTTGAAGGTCTCAGATGGATTTTTTTTTTTCAGTTCAAAATGTTTAATGATCCAGTTTTGAAATAATAAATCTTTATGTACATGCTCATATCATCTGTATACTTTCTAGGTATTTGAAGAAACCGGGTTTGATATAAAAGATTATATCTGCAAAGAAGAATACATTGAGCTGCGAATTAATGATCAGTTAGCACGGCTCTACATCATTCCAGGAGTTCCAAAGAACACAAAATTCAACCCTAAAACTAGAAGGGAAATTCGGGTATGCATTGTTTTGTTTAATTGTGAAGGTGCTCTGCTGTGGAATTTGACTGCAGTAATGGTGATTGTTTTCTGTGTGCAAAATAGCAAAACTAGCAACTGTGATGAATGTCTCGAATACTAGTTACAAATGGCAATTTATCACTGTAGTGTCTTAGCAACTTCGTCAACTCTGATTCTTGTCCACTGGTGGTCCGCTTATCTTCCTTACGTGGAAAATTCTGTTTTAGTCTGTTAGTTCAGTCTTTTGTTACAGTTTTTAATTAAAGTAATTGTGGATGGTGTGTGCTTTTAAGATCTTCTAGTACTACAGCAGTGTTGTTGTTTTTCTGTTTTTTAGAATATTGAATGGTTTTCCATTGACAAATTACCATGCCACAGGAATGACATGACCCCAAAGTCCAAGCTAGGTTTGGCACCTAACAAATTCTTTATGGCCATTCCCTTCATCAGGTATGTTAAAGATGAGCCAAATTCCAGGGCAGTACCTTTCAGAAGACGTTAATTTCTTCAGGTTTGTTTTAATAAGTGAATCTTGTTGAACTTCTCCTTGGTCATAGGCCATTGAGGGAATGGCTTTCTCGAAGGAATGGAGATACCTCGGATAGTGACAATGGACTTTCATCTGCTGGGAACACTCCTTGTAAGCTTAGCATGGAAAAAGTGAGGTAAGATCCAGGTCAGTTTAACAGCTCTATCTATATAGCCTTTCTATCAAACCTCGGTTATGCAAAACTGATCATTCTTTCTCTCTGAGTATTTCTGTTTCAGGGATAGGATGAATTAATAAGATTATAGGAGTATCTCAGAGAATGATGTGCTTATCAGCGTACATCAAGTGGGGGATGAATTCTCAGTCATGGCAGAACTGAGATAATTTATTGAGTTCTACACATATGTAAAAAACAAACTATGAGTAGTTAACTTTGGTCAATGCTTTTTGTACCTCTGTAAGAGAAATAAGCCTCTCTGAAAGAGTACTGATACTGATTTTGGAAGTAGAAAGATAGAACCTACCTAAAATGAATGGACATTGGAAAATAGGGCTCACTCTAACTGATCCTAGGCTATCAAGAATATGAGAAGGTCGAGGGGAGCAAGTACTACTGTTTGCTTCTCTCAGCTGAGCTAAAAGTCTGGAGCACATCTTCAAACCTGGATCCTGTGGTGGAAGGCCGTGTTCCAGTAGTTCGGGTCAGTTGGCAAATGACCACGGATGCATTCCAGCTCCTAAAGGGGGCAAACCTGCTGTCTGCTTGGAGCACAGGTGTTCTCCAGCAGGCCCGCTATGGATGGGTGGTTTGAGGGAGCATCCTGATGATGTCAGGACTTCAGTTTGTCTTTCACATTGTTCTGGAGAGGCAGAAAACTTCAGGATATTTCTGTTCTTCTATTAATAGCCTTGAACTTGTGTTGTAAATTCTGTTCTTTTTGTTTGTTCGTTTGTTTGTTTTGTTTTTGTTTTCATTTTTTAATGCGCTAGATCCAAGCCTCGCTGTGGTCAGCAGACATGTACAGATAGCTCTTCAGGAGAGCAGTGGATAAAGCCAAAACAACCACAGAAGCCATGTAATCATGCTGAGATATCTGAAGTTTTAAAAATAAAGGTATGTTACATTTTCTAGACAAACATGTTATCTGGACCAGTTATTGGGACGTTTAAAATTAATGTCTTGACACATCATTCCAACCTGAAAGTAAAGAATTTTGTCACCGTAGCATGCGAAACAAAAACATGCCCCTTCCCCTCCACCCACCCGAAAAACCAAACCAAAACAAAAAAACAAAAAGAACACCACCTGGAGGGAGTTTTTGGACTTACTTGCTTGGTGCTGACATTTGCGGGGGTGGGTATCAGGCTGTAGTTGTGTTGTTTCACTGTTGGCTCATCCTTTGAGTGTCCTTCACATACCTCTCTGAAACGTTTTGCATGTCACTAGTGTGTCTGCTGGAGTGTAAGTAGTGGAGGTTACTGCTTTGCATTTATTACATATCAGTGTGGCTGTAATAGTGCAGGAAACTGTGTAAAAGCTGACAACTTTCTGTAACTCAAGTGCATGTTGCTTTTTGAGTTTCTGTGCACTTCAGCACGTGTACAGAAAATACTGTTCGTTTAAATGTTTTCAGGTATTAGGAGGTATTATTTTAGTTAATAAGCAGGAAGTGCCACAGTGCAGTGATGTTCAGTGCGGCCATTTAAACTCTTGTCTTTTCTTCTTTTTGGATGTGATGGTAGAGTCAGAACTTGAGGGCCAATGGCAGAAAGCAACATCCAGACACTCCCAGCCAAAAGAAGCGAACAAACGGAGTCCACAGTCAACCAGCTAAGCAAAACCATGCCTTGGTAAGAAACGTGCAGTAGCTGTCTCCTCTACCAGGTTCCAGTAATAGCTAGAGTACATATCTGTCAAAAGTGTATTTGAAGAGAATATATAGTAGTTATATTGTAGGCATATGACATTTCTTAAGTTATAAATGTGTATATCTATAGGTAGGCATATTAAACCTCATTAAGTTACCAATTTGGAAGTAAGGCTTATTTTAGCAGAGGATTTTGTCAGCCCTGTCAGACAATCTTTTTGCAGCATTGACAGTTAATATATACATTATATAATACACGAATAGGTCAGACATGTATTATTTTAAATATCAAGTTTTAATATCAACATTTAAACTAAAAAAAAAAAACCCAAGTACTATAAAGCATATACTTAGTTACTTCCCTCCTCCCTGGCATGAATTTTGAGATACAGACTAGATTTTTGACTTGTATGCCAGTATCTCATGTGCCATTTTCAGCAATTTGTAAATTCCCATACTACATTCTTTCTTTTTTTCTTACCTCTTGTTTGTTGTAACTGCTCTTGCCCCTAAAGTTCTGTTGGCTGGGAGAACTCATGGATTTTTTTTTAGTCTGATTTTTTTTCTTTATTGTTCTTTATAGTTCTCCAATTCTACTCAGTTGTGTTTTTTGCAACAACTGAGCCTCAAGCTGAAGTGCAGAGAACTACTTGTCCAGGCCTTAGCTTTTCTTATTTGTTGGCTGTAAGCTAGACTCTTCTTATTCTGACTTGTAATTCTTGCCTTCTTTCTCATTTTTGTGTAAGGATGCAGAAACGATAAGCTCTCATCGTTGTGAAATCATTTTTGTAGAAAGCAACAGTTAAATTGCTTTTTGGTTTGAGAGTAGAATGAAGAGCTAGAGGACTGACTTCCCAGAAATGCTCTGACTTCACAGAAAAGGTTGTATTTTATGACAAGTGGACTCTGTAGGGTCTTTATAGAAAGCAATGGAACTGTTAATACCCCACAGTTTCTGTGCAAGCTCTTTTAGACTTGGGTTCACCTAAGGGTTCACCTATTTCTGTGTTTTATTTGTGTGGTTCTTGATCTTTTATCAATTCAAACACACACTTTCCCAAATTTCTAGTGCAATTTGGAGGCCTTAATTTTAATGGGGTGCCTGGGGTCATACTTTTGTTGTGGTATACCTAGGACTAGCACTTAATTCTGCCTTGGAGATGTTTCAGTTTCTCTTTTTAGGGCAGGCAGGTTTAAGAAGAGGCATAAGCGTGTGCCACTTTGATTCCACACCACAGTATGCAAATGCTTTCTGGCTTAAAAAAGTTTAGAAAATGCTCAAAATTTCTCCTTAAAATTTGGTTTTGTATCTTAAAAATGGTTGGCCGACTCACAAGATTGCATGCTTCTGAGACACTTTGGTGGAAGTGGAGTGTGTCCGTTTGATAAAGGAGCATCGCAGAGTTTATGTTCTGTGTTAAAAATGACATAATTTCTGCATCAGGAGGTGTGTCAAAGCAATCGTAACCAACATGCCTCTTAGCTGACAGTTCAGCAATACCCCTGAGAATAAATAGGTAATTTTCTTATGAAGTGTGTAATATATGTTCATTCTCTTATCTAGAAATGTGAAAAAAGGCTTAATCCAAGAAGACTTCAAGATAACTTTGAAACAGGCAAGTCTGCTCTGAATTTCTTTCCAGGGTCATTCATTTAGGGCTGAAGACACTAGGGGAATTTTTTTTTCTTCCCTCTTGCAAGACCTTGCCAAAAGTTATGAAACTTTATTTTTCTAAAGAAGTCTTTTTTGTGTGTTTTTATTTTTATCTTTGTCAACTTTGTGTGGTTTTGCAGTTCTTTATTTGGGAAAATTGATTTCAGCATGTTTCTGGGCAAAAAGAAACAAGGACTGATTCAGAAAAAAGCGATAGACTTAAGTACCGTTATTGATCCACTTATTGCTGAGCTGCCTAAAATTTGATCCATGCCTTTTTTTTTTTTTTTCTCCTTCAATTTAGAAGATGCTGCATATGAGATGTGTTGCTCTAGTGAGGATCCGCTGCTAGAACACGGGGAAGGACACTCTGTGGCACGCAATGGCCATTACAAATTTATGTTCTCATCAAGAGCTTTCTTGAGCTTCAAGTTTGACCACGATGCCATAATGAAAAGTTTTGACTTCTGACAGCAAGCTTGTTAAGAACAAAAATCAGACTTACCTGTTGCAATTGAGTGGGTTTCAAATCCAGCCTTACTCTTTCTCAGGAGTTTTCTGTGGGGCGGAAAGGAGGAATGATTTTTTTGTGTGTCTTTTTCTTTTGTTTTTAATGCAGTGCAGGGACTGACTGATGATGTGGAAAGGTCTGTTCTCTTTGCAGTATGGGAGAGGCACAGTGAAGGATTGCACTTTAAATGCAGTATCTCCTTTGTCCACGGAAGTACCTTTCCAGTGTTCAGTTCACGAGTTCCTAGCTGTATGTTAGAGGGCATTCTGTTTTTCCTGTTTTTATTTTTGAATTTGTTCTATGTTCTTTTAGATTGTGATTTTTTATTCTTCTTTTAATGTTGGCATTATACCAGCTTGCTGAACTTTTAACTGGTCTATTGTAAAATTGTCGGAATCGTTAAGTCTTCATTTTCTAGAACATTGCAATATTATGGCAGTGGCAATGAAACTGATTTTCAGAGGACTCCTGTGTCTGTCCTAGAAGTTTTAAAGTTGCACATTTCAAACCTAGCTACAACCTTCCATTTTTCTCCTTTTCTGGTGTCTTACCCCTCATCTCCCTGCTAGGTATCTTCCTTCCTTCAGCCTGAAAATTGGCTTTTTGTTGGCCGGCTATCAGTGACCCTTGGAGGCAAATCTATAGCATTTTGCCTTCTTGTATCTACTCTGCTTCTGTCTTCAGTGAGGATGCAAAAACGGGGTAGCGCTTGGCCTTGTGAAACGTCTGGCCTCCGCTGTAAGGACCGGGAGAGCCACAAAGGTTTTGTATGCGTTTGTGTTACCCAAATGCAGCTGCTTTAAAAAAAAAAAAAGTTTTAACTTTTATTTTATTGTGGGAAGTTACTTGTATAGCATTTGTGTTGGACGTAAATAAGCCCCTCTGGATCTTGCTGAGAGGAAGAAGGCAGGTGTATGGACAGTAGAGCATAGTGTGACACTAAATGGCTTTTAATCCGGCTTGCAGTAACGATTCTAACAGTGCCAACTCTTTCATGCTGTGCTCTGCCCTTGGCTGTGGAGCAGCTGTGTTCTGTGCGTGCCGAGCAGTGCTGGAGTCCTGGCCGTAGCCTCGGGCCTCGTCCGCTGTGACCTCTCCTTCGAGGAGTATGAAGGATGTGAAGAGAAAAAGTGGGAGCTGAGGTGACACGCTGAAAGTATTAGATTTGTTCTTCATGATCCAAATTAAGGGGTTTTTAATACATGCTGTTCTTGTTTGTCACAGCAGCTTGCAACAAAAGCTTCTTGTCCTACATCTTAAAATGGACTTTTTTTTCTAAAATGAGGGTGAGTGAACAAAGGATAATTTGGCAGGTTGAATTAACTGGGCCTGCAGTCTGTATGAGAGTGTGTATGTTCATGCACCAAGTTTTTACAAAACTCTTGTGGTAGCTAAAAACACCTCTCACTATCTCGGTCTTTCTTCGAATACTCTGTGTCTTTTTTTTTCTCTCTTTTTTCTCCTCTCAAAAATGGCTGCAGAAATATCTTAGAGTTTATTTATCTGCTTTGCGCCAGGCGATTTGGGATTTCTGATGCTGTAGCACTTACTGCTGTGGGAAGCCTGAACTCCTGTGTCATTGGCAGGAGAAGCAGACTGCAGCATTTCCTTCCCCCTGAGAACAGGACCTCGTCCAAGACCCGCTTGTGAAACAGCTCTGCTTCTGGCTTTGTTTTGCCTCGTGGAAGGAGTAGTATCCAAAGGCTGCCCAAAACAGTAACTGGCAAGTGCAGGAACTGAGTGGTGGGATAGTGCTGGCCCATGTTGCATTATTCAGCTCTAGGTGAAAACTAACCTTTTGTTTCTTCTCCGGTGCAAGTAGTTGAGTTACCGACAGAAGTGCCCTGCTCATGGTGAGGCAGGAGTTTGTGCTTGTATCACTTGGCTGCAGCTGCCTGTGGGGCTAACAGGCCTCCCTCCCCTAAGGCATGATTAAATATCAAACTGTGGAAATCTTTGTAAGCTGATGTTTCAGATAAATTACTGTTATGCTGTGTGAAATAAGAGGGCAGTTAATGAAACTTTGAGCTCATGACTTACTATAGAATCACAGAATTACAGAATGCTTAAGGTTGGAAGGGACCTCTAGAGATCATCTAGTCCAACCCCCCTGCACACGCAGGGTCACCTAGAGCACGTGGCACAGGACTGCGTCCAAGCGGGTTTTGAAGATCTCCAGAGAAGGAGACTCCACAACCTCTCTGGGCAGCCTGTTCCAGGGCTCTGTCACCCTCACTGGTAAGAAATTTTTCCTTCAGTTCCTGTGGAATTTTTGGTGTTTCAGTTTCTGGCTGTTTCCTCTAGTTCTGTCGGTGGCCACCACTGAAAAGAGGCCAGCACCATCCTCCTCACTGCCTCCCTTGAGGTACTTATAGACACTGATCATATCCCCTCTCAGCCATCTCTTCTCCAGGCTGAACAGGCCCAGCTCCCTCAGCCTCTCCTCACAGGGCAGATGTTCCAGGCCCCTGATCATCCTGGTAGCCTCTTCTTAATGCAGCCCAGGATCCCATTGGCCTTCTTGGCCACGAGGGCACACTGCTGCCTCATGGTCAACTTGTCGTCCACCATGACACCCAGGTCCCTCTCTGCAGAGCTGCTCTCCAGAAGGTCGGTCCCCAGCCTGTCCTGCTGTCTGGGGTTATTCCTCCCCAGGTGCAGGCCCTTGCACTTGGCCTTGTTGAATTTCATGAGGTTTTTCACCGCCCAGTTGTCCAGTCTGTCCAGGTCCCTCTGGATGGCAGCGCAGCCCTCTGGGGTATCAGCTACTCCTCCCAGTTTGGTATCATCAGCAAACTTGCTGAGGGAGCACTCTGTGCCTTCATCCAGGTCATTGATGAATAAATTGAACAGGACTGGACCAAGGACTGACCCCTGGGGGACCCCGCTAGCTACAGACCTACAACTAGACTCAGCACCGCTGATCACCACCAGCTTCAGCTGAACTATCTAGATGTTAAATCATATTGTAGGCAGAGGTCTCTATCCACAGCAGGTGCCTCCTGTGACTAGGAGGTGATGGCTCTGCTCTAGCTCTCCTCTGTATTCCCTGGCTATGTATTCTTTTCTTTTCATCTTAATGAAGGTTTGGATCAGTATAAAAGAAACTGGTTGTTTCATTAAAAAGCCCAAAGTAGGGCATGATTTTCGTAAATCCAGCCTTAACGTGAATTGCAAATAAATGTGATGAAATATGCAATAACTTTTACTGCTCTGTGTAAGGGTACTGTTTCTTGTGTTAATGTTGTTTCCTGCTGCTGTTCCTGAAAGGTTTCTACAGGAATGCAAGTGTGGTGGTGTCGTGTGATCCGCTTGGGCTCCACAGTGTGCTGCACGGTGAACGTTTTGCATTGTTAATGCTTGTGACTTTGCTGTAATTTCACCATTTTATAATTAAGTGCACCTCCAAGTTTAGGAGTACAGTTTACATGAGTTTCTGTAAAACAGTGAAAAAAATAAGTGGGTAATAGATTTTTTTTTCTTTTTTTTTAATTTCATAGGCATAGGGGATATATACAGTGAAAAAAGAGTTACTGTTCCCATGTTAGACACATGTTAAAAACACTGTTTATGATTGGAGCTAAAACAAATGAGAATGCTTGCCTGCAAGAGGGCGGTCTTCACATTATTAATGGTCACGTGTCAGGCGCTCATTAATTAAATTGAATTAACCAAATAACAAAATGACCAGGTCTTTAATGAATACGGCTGGGTGGGTGCGCGGGGCTGCGGCTGCTGCTTCGTGGCTGCGGCGCCCCCAAGGGCCCGGCACCCGGAGCAGCGGCCGGGCACGGTCCCCAGCCTGGAAAAACGTGGTGCTGCGCAGAAGCAGGGAAATAGCTGCATGTATTGCACAGTTGCGGTATTTTTTTTAAACATAATGTATTTTTTTTTAGACCAAACTTACATAGATAGTTTTTTATTAAGGTTTTGGGCCTCGTTGTTGTTCCAGGCCTCTCTGCTGTGCTCCGCAGTCCCTCTGATGTATTTTGTGGCCTGGAGAACTGTGTGTTCACTGTTCCTTGCTTTGCCCGCTGGGGGCCTCCGTGAGTAACTGTTCCTTTAAAACCAAAGGGGCTCGGCAGCCCCGCTGCCCTTGGAGTTGCTCTCAGGTTGTGATTGCGTTAAGGTAATTATTTTTCCAGCTTTTACACATAATGCAGCAAGGTCTTGGTGATGTGTAATAAATCGCAGCACCCGTAGATCACACTGGTGCAAAGAGTCTGCACTAAGAATCCAAGCTCTAACATCCTGTCATGCAGAATGGCACTGCTGGTCCTGCGTGACTGGTTTTCCAGTTGTCTTTGCTTTTAATTTTTTGAGCCTCCTGATTTATTTTTATAAATTTTGAGCATTTTTTTTCCAGAGGTTAATATCAGGTGCCTTCATCTTGTAAAACAGGAGGTTACTCTATACATATGAGAGTCTCAAGACCGTTGAGGACTGCTAGAATAGCCTTTCATTGATTTAAAAGTAGTTTCTCTATTTAAAAAGTTAAGAGTTACACTGTAAATGTTAAAGAACTCTGGTGCTCATCCATGACTCCAAGCTGATTTAAGTTTGCTTTTGGTAGTACAGTATTTCAGCCTTAGAAACAACCACATGTTGTTTCTGCAAACTAACTGAAGGTGCTTCAGTGAGTTAGGCCTGGGAGTGTCACTACTCTTGTGTAACAGGTTTTTATTCTTACGCCTCTGTAGCAATAGTCTTGTTCAAGGCTGACAGTAATAGCCAACTGCTCGTATTTGCACTGTTCGTAATGCTGTACATAGGCCCCGCAGGAGATGCAGTAGCATTTGTGCTCTGTGTGCATTTTCACTGTCCAGGTAGGTTGTGAACTTAAAGCAAGTCATTTTATGTAGCAATTATATTGGCCATATTCGGGATCATACTAAGAATCTGGATTACTAGGAGAACATAAAAATTAAATGTTTGGACTTCAATGTCTTTTTCATTGGACTGTACTGAAGTAGATTATCGTACAGGTGTGACTTAACAGAACCGCATACACCCGCGCTTAGAGTGCTCCCCTGTGGGCACTGATGGAGGGAACGTGTCAGTAAATCGCAGTAAACTGCAGTTCG